GACCAGGGTGTCGTGGGGGACAGTGTCGAAGGCTTCGGAATGCTTTCTGTGCTTCCTCAGTGGATACATGGCTGTTCCAGGGCAGACATTCTGGGCTTGGTTTTAAAGCAGAAAAAAGGTTGCAGAAGAGTTCGGCATTCAGAACTGAATCACCTGAACATTTGTGGATGTGGAGCCAAGACATCATAGAAATGCAGCTAGAGAAAACTGAACATACTACTTAAATAAATACTTCAGAATCGGGAAGCACATATGAAAGCATTCTTTTGTCTGGCCCCAAGGGTGTTTATGTATTTTATACTAGGCAGTCATTTCAAATAACCCAGATCCAGCTCCAGGTACTGACTTTATTTTTTAAAGTGTTGTTTAATGTACAGAATGACCATGATGAATCCACTAACTCTGAAAAGTGAAGCAATGACATAGTGAAGCAGCTCAAAGCCAAATACAACTGAAGCAGCTTCAAAATTGAAAGTTTTTTGCTCTATTCTGCTATCTAAATGCTACCATTCACTCTATTCTGTGTCACTACTCATTTAGATACGTTTCGATATTGTGGACAGAAAAACTGGTGAACCATTGGACCACCCTTTATTTTTCAAGATAAAGGTTAGAGATATTAATGACAACGCACCGGAGTTTCCCAAGGAGGAATATAACATTACAATCCGAGAGAACCACAGGAGGGGTAAGTGCCATCCAAACACGGGGTAGTACTGGTCTGTGTATGACTGCTCTCTTTTTAATGCTTTTTCTTTTCCCTTTCTTATTAAATTTGCCCTTCTCCCTAGGTTTTACTTAAACACTCATGCATTTGGGGACTATTTCCTGTGAAGGACTATTTCCTACCTCTTGACTTCTTGTCTGATTAACCTCAGTGTACATTAGCATAGCCTTGGAGATGTTCTGGAAAAAATCCTAAGACATTTCTTCTTAACTACAAGCCAAAACTTCAGCAGACTAATCAGCAGTGTGGATCTGGAGCTTGCACATGCACACTGCTCACAGAAGGTGGTCAGACACACTGCTTCAGAAATACAAAGACTTAATCTGGGTGTGTAGATGTGGGCATAGTGCCAGCTCCTCAGGAGCTGACTGAGAACTGGCATAAATAACTAGTGAATGTTTTGATAAAGTAAATTCAGGAAAGTGGTAACTCTCTTTATTGTCTAACAGTACTTTAAGCAGATTTGCTACCCAAGTGAGTTGGTGGCCAGAGTTATTGCAGGGATAACTGTAGCCACAGGAGAGTTTTTCTTGGGACTTGTGTGTTCAAGAGCCTGCAGACAGACCTGAAAAACTCCCATGTCAAGACTAAACACTTCTAACTCGATTCTTTATCCTAGATGAGCCAGTTTTCCAAGTTACTGCCTTGGACAAAGATGAAGGTGGCTCTGCGAATTCTCAGGTGTCCTATTCTCTAAGTATGCAAATACCCCTTCCAGATGGATTCACATTTACTATTGATCCTACCACAGGATCAATACTTCTGTCGGAATGCCTGGATTACAAGGTAATGTAGACAAGGCAGCTTCCTACCATTTAATGCATGAGACGTGTTCACTACATGTTAACCAGATATAAGGGGGAGAGTCTCAAATCCAGCTTTGTAGCTGTGATTGGCAAAATACAGGAACTGCTTCAGAACTGGGTTTGAAAATTCCTTTCTTTTGTTTTTCAGACTGCCAGCTCTTTCAAACTTCTGATTAAAGCCAGTGACCATGGATCTCCTCAGCTCTCATCTACTGCAACAGTGAACATAGCTGTTGAAGATGCAAACAACCACCTCCCTGTATTTACTAGTGATAATGTAAGGAAAAACATTATTACTATACTGAGCCTTTCTAAGTACAGCTGAGTCCTTCAAATTGCTACATACACTCAGCAGTGGAAGTGGAAACTCTCAGACACTTGCAGAATCAGGCCAAAATACGTGTGAATGAGTTTTATGTGTTAGAAGAAGTATCTCTTAAAAATGTGGACAGTGGGAGAAAGCCTGACTACTGACAGTGATAAACAGTTAGTTTTCTGTGTATAGCACTAGATGGTTTTTGTCTCACTAGTAGTATAAGGATGCTGTCAGACTTTCTCTAGCATCTGAGAAGCTAAGATGCCAATTACAATCTTCTCTTGAAAGATCCTGGTTTTTGATCCATGAAGACCTCAATGGCCCTAAGCCTGCCTGCCTGCAAGCTCAGTACCTCTCACCAGGGCAGTCAGGTGTGGTCGCAGTGCTTCTGCTGTCAGATTCTGTGAGGATTGAATGGGAGCCATTGAGCTTGCTGGCAGGAGAGGGCTCTGAGGAATTAAAAGCTTCAATGGATAGACAGCTACACTTTGAGCTCAGACAAGAGCTATCCTTTTTCAGGCTCTGGTCCCATTAATAGCTCAGGTCCCAGAAAGACTGTGTTCATAATTTGCATACTGTCACACTGCTGTGGTTTAGCACCAGCTGGCAGCTCAACACCACACAGCCACTTGCTTGCTCCCCTACAGTCGGAAGGGGGAGAGAATTGGAAAGGTATAAGTGAGAAAACTCATGGGGTGAGGCAATAATTTAATCTGTAAAGCAAAAACTGTGCACACAAGCGAAGCATACCAAGGAATTCATTCACCACTTTCCAAAGGCCTTGACTCTATGTAAGCACTGCTCAGCAATAACCAAAACATCCATATGTGATCAACACTATTTTCCTTCCAAATCTGAAACACAGAAAAATATAAGCTACTATGAAGAAAATTAACTATCCCAGCCAAACCCAGTACACACATTCAGAGTGTAGAGTCATGTCAAACATTGGTGTAAGTATTTGAAGTTGTCAACAGTAAAAATAGGTACTGGGTTGCAACAGTGGGTACAAAGTCACCTACGAAGATGAAGATGAGGTTTAGTCATAAGTTCTTTATGAAGTCAATGGGAATATGTTGGAGGGAAGTTAGTTCTGTAACTCCCATAGGGGGTCTCTGTCACTGAGTGGAGGTCACACATGAACCACTGCAAACAAGGACAGTGTGTGCAGAAAGTAGCTCCACGTGGTCTGGTGGTGGTCCTCTGGCTCAGAACTGGCTAACAAGCTTGTTCCCCTTGGAGAATAGAAATAGTCCTTACTTTTTTCCCTTCCCAGGACCAGCTGCAAATTTCAGCAGGTCAAGAACATCCAGCTGTATTACGGCTCCAGGTGGAAGACAAAGACTCTCCCAACACTCCAGCTTGGAGAGCAAAATACAGAGTAACAGAAGGCAATGAGAAGGAACAGTTCACCATCGAGACAGATCCAGACACAAATGAAGGCGTTTTGAGTATCATTGAGGTGAGGAGCAGTAACAGTTGAGCTGCAGCATGGCCATATGTGGCATGGCCAGTCTGATTGCAAGACTGGTAGCTTAGCATCTTGGCTGAGTTGTGTGAGCTCAGCTTACCTCTGAGTTCCAGGGTTTTAGAGGTGACTGCCAAACCAAAGGTTGTTACTGCTCATCAGATGTTTGTTTGGGATTTTTAGCCTCTCAGCTATGAAGATGACTCTGAGATGAGACTTGTCATTTCTGTATCAAATGAAGAACCTTTCTTCTTGTGTAAAAATGGCATTGTGACGATTTCAAGCCTAGAATCAACTAATACAACTGTGAACATCAAGGTCTTGCAACCACAACGAGCTCCTAGGTTTCATCCTCCTATACTTATTGTCCAAGAGGAAGATTCTATGAAACCTGGGAGGGTATTTAGAAGATATCCTGCCACATATCCAGGTGATGTGCCAAATAAGATAAAGTAAGTGAAGATGCTTCTATCTTTCAGATTAAGAAATAGCTTAGGAACATAAAATTTCAAGTTTAATTTGGTGTATGTACATGTATAAATATATACACACATATATTTACAATTAAATGAAAATATACATTAGAGATGCACATTGCTATTGATGATACTGCAGATCCAGATAGCTGGTTCTGCAAGATACACTTGAAAGGTGTGGTCAGTCCTTGGTTGCTCAATATTTCTGTTGTCTTCAAAACAGTTCTGCCTAAACCCAGGTTGCATTATTTATATTTTACTTTTGACAACACAATTCTGATGCCATGTGAAGGACTAAGAAATGCTTGCCTGTGAGAATGGTAATCTGGTGTGTAAATTAGATACTTTTCTGCCTCTAGGAACAGTTTTGATGGGCCTGTACAAGTGGGTACTTGTTGGCCTGTGTGGGTACTGTTTGTTGGCTGTGTTGGAACATACAGCTTGTCATAGAGTTAACAAAAGTAAGCATCACTACAAAGTAAACATACCTACAGAGCTCAAGAGGACAAAGAAATATGCCATAGCTATTTTCTATTCTTCAAAATCCTTTTAAGATTGTAATGGGTAAATTTTTCCTTCCTTTTTGAGATACGAACTAGCCCATGACCCAGATGGTTGGCTGAGTGTGGATGAGAGTTCTGGAGTTCTTACTGTGGAAAAAGAATTTGATCAAGAATCCCCTTACCTGAACAACAGCCTGTATACCATTATTGTTCATGCTATTGATCATGGTAAGTAGCCAGTCAGAAAATATTCAAGCAGTGTTTGAACTGTTTGAGATGAGGTGCGTGTTAGATACGAAACGATAGCAAGCCTAAGGATCACAGTAGAGAATGGCAGTGCAGAACACCCTCACATGTAAAACTTGTGTTATGTGTGACCAGTAAGATAAACCACAGAGAGAGAAATTGTCAATGGGCTGACTTGTGTCAATGCCCAGTTGTAAGTGTTTTTCTGTTTCTTTTTCTCCTGTCTAGGTATTCCACCACAGACTGGTACTGGCACCATCCTGCTTTACTTGTCAGACATTAATGATCATATGCCAACATTAGTGGCTCCTTCTTTGTATGTGTGTAACAAAAAAGAAGGGGTGCCTCTCCTTATAAAAGCTAAGTCTGCTCTAGTCCACTTACATTCTGGGCCGTTTACATTTGAGCTGGCTGAACACTCTGAAGATGTGAAGCATAACTGGAAATTAGGAAGAAACTTTGGTGAGTTCTTCCTTTTGTATCCTTCATGAGAAGTGTATTGTCAGTTACGTGCCCTCTGGTTATTTCACTCTCTCTTAACTTTATGGCTTGTTACCAATTAGTCTCACTGAGACTGAAAGGACATAGAAGAACAGTTTTCAAAATATAAAGTCTCTGCAATTTGAAAAAAAGTTACATTGTTCTTCATCTCTGCTGAGGACAGGACCAGAAGCAATGTGCTCAAATGGAAGAAAGGGGGATGAGACAGCTGAGGAACCGTTTCTGCATTTTACTAACTGCCTAATGAATTCTGCCAGAATGCAGCAGGACTGGGACAGAACATTTTGCCCAGACGGCTCAGCAAGGTGTTTAACTGGGATGTCATTTTATCCTATTTACTGTGGTGTGTAAAGTCTGGAAAAAGTATTTGAAATTGAAGTGCAAATGAGTTTCTCTTTGATTATCAACAGAATGGGCTGTAGAATATCAGACTTCCTTCTTGAAATAATTTGCTTGTCTTCTTTTTAGGGGACTCAGTTGAACTTCTAATGTTAAGAAGCCTCCCACAAGGCAGCTACTTGGTGCCCATCATTATTCAGGACAGGCAAGGATTTTCCACAAGGCAGAATCAGCATGTTAGGGTCTGCTTTTGCCCAGATGGACATACATGTAAAGATTCACCACTTCTACAGCCAGCAGTGAGACTTGGAGGTGGTGCCATTGCAATAATACTGATGGCTTTCTTCTTACTGCTGGGTAAGTACCCCATAAGTTATGCATGCAAGTCATCTGACACTAGAAAGATTAGTGAAACTTACCTGTGGTCATGGCTGAGATGTGAAAAAGTGAGGACTGTGTAATATAAAGAAGTGAAAAAGGAAAGATAATACAGATACATAGAATACTATTGTATGAACAACAAGTACAAGTATGTAACCAAGGGAAAAAGAAAACAACTACACTGAAATAAACAGAAATGTAATGTTAACAAGTGGAATTTTTCAGCTTGTTGCTTGTGAAAATCATTAGATTGTGGCTAGAAGATGACTGGTAAGTGTAAATGTAGATGTAAATGTGTCATTACGCTGAACTCTAGTACAACAAAGTAAATATTCTTGTTTGCGTTTCATAAAATTGAATAATTTACTTTTTTTGACATTAGCCATGTAGTGGCTAACTGGAAATAATGAACTCCCGTAGGGTTACTCTACTCAGTAATTGCTTGTTATAAAGCTACTTACTCTGTAACAGCTCATTTTGGTTATTGCTGAACTTCTGATTCTTTGTCTGAAGCAAAAATTCATAGATTATCTGTTACAAAATAAATATAAAATAAAAATTCATAGATTATCTGGTTACCTGTCAGTGGTCCAATATGCCTGCCTGGTCAGTGCAGTGCTCTGTGGAGATAACAGTCTGACTTTCTAAGGCAGGGCCAGCACTCCAGGCCAAGCATTGCACCTGCACAGCTACGTGGCTGGAGGTTTCCAAGTTAGCTCACTTGGAATGGGGCTGGGTACCTCACCAACCCACTGTAGTGAGCCACACAGATCTATTCACAAGGCCCATTTCACCATTGCCTGCCTTTTTTCAACAGTTTCCAGTATTCTGATTTGCCGGTTTTATGTGCCTGGATCTAAAAGCAAAGCTATTATTCCACCTCAAGAAGGTGAACAGACTTTAATCAACTATAATGAAGAGAGCAGAATGCCTTTATCTCATGTGAGTACAAAAGCATATATTCACAGTACTCCACCAGTGTTCTGTGGCTGAATCTGGTACCACGAATTGTCTCTTTTATTATGTTTCCTTTCATTTTGTACTGAGCAAAATAAAGCTTGCTGTGTTTTTTGCCACTAAGAGTATCTGGGGAGCTGTGTTCTGCATGGACTGGATAATGCTGCTCTAGTGACAGACTATTATGATCAGTCATTCCTACCATTTTTTAGTATCAGCAGGACCTTCCCAGGTGCCTCATCCTGCTGATGAACCCAGCAGAGGAGGAGGCACATCATCTCTTGTGACACTGCACTTACTAGTGTTTGGAACAAAGAAGGAGATGAAGGTAGAAAAGGGAACAGTGTGCTGAGGTGTTACAGCAGCAGCCGAGTTCAGGTTCTTATTAATACTACCCCTCTCCCTGTGTGCAGGCTGAGCTGGATATTACAGATCATGCTGCTCTACCACCTGTGGCTGTGGAGGCTGGAAGAGAAGTGGTTGCTGAGGTAACTGCCTGTTTCCTTATGCCCTTTTTTATAACACAGAAATTGGTAGTTCCAAAATGAGGTTTGGTATTAATAATGGTGGGAAGAACAATGCAATATAGTTCAATTAGAAACTAAGTGTCACTTGTTGGAGAATCCACTGGTATTTAAAATACTGTTAACTTATTTTTTTTCTCACA